TTTCTAATGAAACAGAATAGTATTTTTGTATTTTATATTTTGTTTTTGTTGCCATTTGTCATCCAGTCAGCTTTCATTTATGCTGAATGTACAAACACGAGACCTCAAAGAGATCTTGAGACCATGAGTTCCTTTACTGAATCAATCAATCTAGAGTGGCCTTTCTACTTTCCTACTGTCTTCAACTTTACTCAACATCATAGAGTTTTCAAATGACTACAATCTCTCATTGTATGTTCAAAGCATTATAATCTTAATTTCATTGTTTTGGATTCTAGTCATTGCTCAGGTCCAATTTGTTCTATGGCACATTTATGTGCCATATATTATATATATTATATACATATATATTATATACATCATTTGTTTCCATTACCAAATATCATGTCTTGTACCTTTACATGTGCACTGATCTAAGCATAATTTAAAATCCCATTTTGATCTAAAGGTCTTATCCATGCTAAATGTATGTATCTCCTGAAACCTAACCAGGGAACTTGTCATTCTTCACAATTATGATTCCATACAATTCCAAAAACATTTTGTTGTTATTGTTCATTCTTTCAGTCATTTCCGACTCTTCGTGACCTACAGATTCCATTTTCACAGGCATAGTTCTGTTCTATGAAATCCTGAGATTAGTAATTAAGACAAGGATATTTAGAATTCTCTGCTGGAAAGCTACACACAAGGTTCTATAAGATGTTGCCATGGCAGTCCAAGTGACATCATAGTGATTTGTGAAAGGGCTGCAGAACAACCTGAACAGCATCTAGCAAGGAAAATATACATTAATTAGTGTCTATTTTGTACAGAATGATTGCAACCCACAAAGTCTTGCAAGTATCTCCTTTGTTGTCTGAAGCAAATACTGGAGAGCAGAGCATCCAACAAAATCCTGAGGGGAAAAGGAAGAGACATGTCTCCAAGTGCTTAGTGAATGGTATATTTTTATTTATTCATTTTATTTTGGAAAGGTCTCTTTCTCATACCTATCTACCTATTCCTCCACTATTTATCAAGATTGACAGAATCTCTATACAACATCTGCATAATTAAATGCATATTCTTCTTTACTCTTTTCTTGCATAGTTGTTGTATGTGTGATTAATTATTTGTACACTGTGAGAGTTGTAGACTACATCACTAGGAAAAAAGTATTTCACTGTATAAATCAATAATGTAAAAATACCTGAAATGCTATGAGAAACAGAACAGAAGAAAATTCTAAGTACAGTAATACTATATTTGGATATAACTTTTTAGAAGTTCCCTTTTGTGAACTACATCACTAATCATTATGCCTTTCAGAGGTACATTCTTATGGCCCTGGGATAGCATCACATCAACCACCTCATATATTAAATGTAGATGTCTACCTTTGGATGGCTTCATAGCTTGAAAGCCCTATCTGACCCACTGTGGAAATATTGTGGCTGGTCCTTCTATTTCTGTATCAGAGAGGGATGAAAAGTATCACATGGAGGGTATGGGTAGTAGATGTTGCAGGACAAATTACGACTCTGAAAAATATATGCCAGTATTTTTCCTAGTCTGCAGAGCTAAACTCACAGCAGTTCCTGATACATGCCTGCCTTGGAGCGGGTGCAAATAAGTATCCTCCTATTGATTTCTATAGGAAGGAATCTGCTAAAACAGAAGTTTGAAAACTAAACAGGATGCAGAGAGAAGAAAGCAGTGAAACCACTGCTTCTCTCTCACTTCTTCTCATGTTGAGGTCAGGCCAGCTGGGCTTTTGATAACCCAGAGGCTTTGATGTCTGCCTATATTAGGAAGTGGTTGAGAAATTATGCTTTCCAAAAATCACCAGGAGCTGAATTTTGTATACAATCGTTACAATCAACTTACAATAGGCTGTGTCTAGGCAAGTCTAGTAAATCTTTGCGATGATGCCAACTAGGTCTTCAGAGCCATGACCCACCCAATGCTACTACTGTTAAATTAGCAACAGTGTTTCCAGACAGAATGGCCTATTTATATCCCGAGTCACTGTCATCATGCTTTTAATACCTTTTACTATATCCTAATAAAAGCAAAAGTCTTGTGAAACAAGCACAAAAGCTCATTCAACCCCCTTGTATGAATATCAATAGACTGGTACAGAAGATTAATATTCAGAAAACACCTTTTCATTGCATGCTGTATTTGGTTTGACAATATACTTGAATACAGATTTTTGTGCTCAGTACTCCAATAGGGATTCATGGCTGGCTATCAGACAAGGCAAAGAACAGTCCCCTGTGTTGTTAAACAAGGGACTTTTTTTCAGCTGGTCTAGGGTAAGATAAAACATCATTCTTCTGCACCTTGTTAGCATTTACTTCTGACTCGGGCCACAGGCAGCTTTCCTAAAACAATCAAATGCCACAGATATAAATAAGATTATATGACCTCCACTTATTTGTGGCAATTTTCTAGAGATTATTTGGCAGGTCATCCCTCTTTTATGCTACTGCTTTTCACAAACACCTGTGTCATACATTAAACACTTACAAAGGAAAGAGGTCACCTAGTTCAAATACCTTCCATAAGTTAAAACTATTCATTCATTAGCTCTTTGGAAATTAATTCAAAGCTGTCAATATTTGTTATAGGACTCAAAAGTCAGAGGTATACCAGGTTCGGAAAGGGACCCGTGAAATACATGAAGTACACAGGTTTCCCATCTCTGCCTTATAGAAATGATGACTTTGTTATATGGCTTGGCTCACTTGAATAATCAGAGGCAGTTTTCCTACCTAATGTTCTCTCTCTGTCTCTGTGTTTTCCTGAAGAGCCAGAAGAAGATGGGGACACAACTAGCAATATTAGAGTTGGGTGATGCCAATCTCTCTGCTCCATTTTGAAAGCACCAAAATGAAATAAAAAATCAAAATAACTCCCATAACGTTATTCAATTCCTGGTTTGAAATAAACAAAATCCTTAGAATGATACGAGGTTGAAGTGACTGCAATGATAGCAGCTGCCATGTTTTGATCCTGAATAAGAGGCTATGCAATTCCCAGATGTAAGAAGAGATATCAAGTGGAAAGAGATGTTTGGAGAGGATGACGCATCATTTTAACATACCTACATTGATTATATTCTTATACTTACCCCAGACACAGTTTCACACAGAAACTATAGTTGCAAAAATATGAATATGACAAACACAGAGGAGATAAAGGTAACAGTTTGACTAGTGTGATATATATTTTCTCATGTTTGCTTCTGTTAAGTTTATAGGTTTTGTTCAGCCATCTTGAGCTGACACACATTTTTTTTTTGGAGTGCTGCCTGTCTGTACAAAAGGATTTTGTACTTCAAAAGATGACGGTTCTCCATCATTTCTCTTACATATATTGATGATTAATATTCAGAAGGAAGTACATATGAGATCATACTCATGCATGCATGCAAGACTCTCAGAGATTACCATTCACCAGTGTGGAGGATGAGTACAAGAACTCATGATCTCCTTTAAGAGGAAATAAAGCTCATATAAGTAATATTAGCAATGATATGTGTCTTATTCTACCATGGGATTACAAATATTTTTAAAACTCAAATACATCATGAAAAGGCTGAAGTATGGGTGTATGGATAATGAACCAGCTTGGGCCAAGATGCCTAGCGAAGGAGTAAAACCATTTCTGCCTGAGGTAAAATATTTTTCATATAGCTATTGGTAAGAGATGCTTTAAGTTTAGGAGTGTTTGCTTCAGTACATGACTTGTAGTCACATTTAATAATTATAGTGGTTTGAAAGCACTTAACCACCATGATTTTCTTATGAAATCCTGGGCTTCATAGTCTAGTGAGGGAAACTCCCCACTGGAGATTTCTATTCCATTTCCCTGAACTATAGCATTAGAACAGTGGTTCCCAACCTTTTTTTAAAATCAGGGACCGCTTTGATTATTTTGTTGTTATCAGAGACCACAAGGTTATTAGCAGGGACCACAAGCTATATTGTCTTTTTCATAACAACTGAAATTCATTTCAATAATAAATAAATAAATATTGAGGACTCAGAGTCAGTAAAACTAATGGAGCCGTCAAATCACTAAACAGCAAAACAGAATCGCTGAAACTGCCAAGCAAGACAAAAGAATGTGTGCGACTGACTGACACTGGGTGTCGTGAGTACGTGACATCAATCTCTTGCCCTCCTCCCGGCCTCCTGCACTTGCCCAACATCCTACTCATCAGCGCTGCCCATGTAGCAATGGATTCATTAAAATAAATAAAGGTTTAAAATTTAAGATGTTTCATGGACCATATTTTAGTTCCTGCAGACCACTGGTTGGGAACCACTACATTAGAGCTTTCAAATAGTGAAGTCTAAGTATCTCTAAGTAACTTCAAACCTCAGGAAAACACTGGATAGAAGCATGGCAGTTAAAGTGGTGACAAACTATAATAACTGTGAATAGAGGATCTTAAGTTAAGGAATCCTTGAACCGATACCTGAACTGTGAGTTTAGGCTGTGGAATTTCAGGAGCAGCAAACCAAGAAAGTAACCTTTCAAACTATGAGATTGACTTATATGATCTGCAAGATCTTTTCTGAGTCTGAAAGCAAGCAGAATTTGGAGCCACTCGCACCTACCGTTTGTGTTGCTAGTGTGGAGTGCAACTTGACAGCTGGATATGCCCCTTTCATGGTGGCAGCATACAATTAGAACACATATAGTCTAGTTAAAAGCCTCACTGAGGGATGATTCATTTGCATCAACTCCTTACATATTCCATTAACAGAAGATACCAGTCTTTTTCCTTAAAACACTTAGAGGTAAATAAAGAGGTACTAATTTAACTCATCCAATTTAAACGAGTAATGGCACCAGTAACAAAGTTAACAATAAAATCAATTATAAAAAAAGAAGAGCTTGAAGAAAGATAGACTGTTGAAGAAATAATGAGAGACTACATACAATGAAGAGATGGGGTGATGGATGTGGGTGAGTGGGAGGGCAAAGGCAATAGAGCAACCTACCTCTGATGCCATAAAATCAACATCCTTAGATAGCAACATCCTTAGGCCCACACAATGGAACTAAAGATCCATGAAGCTCCTCTTCTGGACCCTGGAATGTTAGAGGGTGAAGCTTTCTTCTGTCCCATCACCTCTACGGTTATTTATCCTGATAATTGTTCCACATGAAACCCTTGTTGCATAGTCCACTCTTCCGCTTCCTTCCTCCTATGAATTCATTTCCTTTTCTGTTCAGTTTCCCATTACACATTCCATGCACAGTTGATTTAGACTGAAAGCAAAGGATATCACAACTGTCTCCCACCAAATCCCCAATTTCCCTGAAGGTGATGGATTTCTTATCCGCCAGTCTCACTTTGTTGTTTTTCTGCTACAGACAGGCAGTGAGTGACTCCACAGTTAAGTTGACAACATACAGACGCACACGCACGCACTTGTGGGAACACCTTTTTTCTTTTTTTATGAGGATTTTTTCCCTTTTTGCAAAAAAATGCAAGCAAAAGAAAAAAACAAGGTTTTCTATTGAAGGTACAACTCTTCTTCAATATGAAGACATTAACTGGATTGGTCTGGATCCCCCATGCAGTGGTCAGTGAAGTCCTTTGGTAGCTGATGGATCAATGTCTTGACATTCTAGTAGGTAGCTGTTGAGACAGTTGAAGAAAATTCCCCATGGTTTATGAGCAAAAGAGGGAATTGGGTGGGTAAGAAGGACTCTTAGAACAGAATTAAGAGAAGGAAAGGAATATAACTGCTGAAGATGGTTGCCCTGGGTTATACCTTTCTCTTCCACACTGGCCCCTTGACTACTGCTCACTGGTGGTGGGATTTAAGTCTCTTTTTCTCCCAACACACATTGGTTTGTCTTCACTGATTTTTTAAATATATGATTTGTACATATTTATACTTATTTATATGCTGTTTCCTATGGCATCAGTAAATGTGTTGGTGAGAAACGGAAGCTGCCACTTAGAAACAAGTCCTGTGTCCTCTTTGCCTGCGTCCTCTTTGCCTGAGGCTCAAAAAAGTTCTCAGGCTATCCAATTTTTGCAAGTATCTCGCTGTCTTGTCAGCGTACCCTCCCCTCCCACATCCAACCCTCTTGAGTCCTGTCTTCTATTTTTCCACTATAGTAAGAAGACACAAAGCGTCATGCCATTGAAGTTGGGGACTGGCTCATCTGCACTCTCATAGATTGGACACTGTTCAGGATCTTCTTCTGATGTCCAGCTAAAGTTACTCCTATTCTTAGAAGATCTCTGCAAAAGACAAGAGATAGAATCATGTTCATGGATCGATGCCAGTAATTTCCTTGGGTCATTGGACATGCCAATATATGGAACAGCAAATTCAACATACATGTATGATTCCCAATAACCTGAAAAAATGGATACTTGAGCAAAAAAGAGATAAAGAAGCTTATTTACCTTCCTTGAAAATGTTGGTCTTACATGTTCCTTGAGAAGACCTAGCAGAAATTTTTGATCTTAACCAAACAGAAGAGATTGTAGGACTTCCAGTCCAGTGACATTTAGCCATTTAAAATTATTTTATTATTGAAACAAAATGTATTCAGAGTAAGAACTTCTGTCAGGGAATCTCTGGACTAACTAGTTATATGAGACATTTACATTCAAGGCTGTAGAGCTGTTGTGACCTATTAATGAGGAGGATATACTACTACTGTTACTATTACTACTATTACTACTACTACTACTAATAATAATAATAATAACAACAACAACAACAACAACAACAACAACAACTTTATTTTTGTTCCCCACCTCCATCTCCCCAAAGGGACTCAGGGCGGCTTACATGGGGACAAGTCTTATCAACATAATTAAAATAACACATTTTAACAAGAAGCACCTCACAGTATGAGGATCTAGTACATATTGATTTGTGGAAGGAGACCAACTAGGAAGATGTCAGCAAGTGGGTCAATACTTAAAAGTATATGGGGCTATTTGAAGTGCCTTTGAGAATGGTAAAAAACTGATTGTTTATTTATACTATGGTTGAGAATCATACAGAACTTCCATTATTGTTGGACTGCAAGTCCAACCATTTCTTACCATTGGCTATGTTGGGTAAGGTTGATGGGAGTTGCAGTGCATCAAGATCCCATCCCTCATTGAAAGTATTTTAACTCACCCTTACACAAAAGCTTTGCAAGATGGCTTACAAATATAAGAAATACAGCATAGAGGTTTGATCAATGCAGGAAACATGTGAGAATTTTTGGAACACAAAATAATTCTGACAGCAAATGGATTTCTTTGGAGGAACAGAGGAAAAGAGTTTGCAGATAGTGGCATTTTGTCTTTCGATTTATGAGCTACTTTTCTTTCTTATATGCCTTTTCTATATGTAAAATGTTAATATATCTTTTTTATACCAGTTTCAAAAGTTAAAGAAAAAAACCATAAAATGAAACAGTACCATCTAAATAAACCAAACAAAACAAGATAAATGAGTCAAGAAACAAATCCATATAAAGCCCAGAAAAGTAAGAAGGACTAACTTTATAAACATCACCTAAAAATAAAGAGCTTTTGCCAGTTTCCAGAAAATCTGCATGTTCCAGGTACGAAAGATATGTTCTGATCTAGTATTCATTTGGTGACAACTTGAAGTACAAAAAACAAAAAACCCTGCACTGTCCTATCATTTCTGCTGTGGAAAGATCAGAGGGTAACCACAAGATAAAAATAAAGTAGAGTGATGCTTAAGGAAAAAGTATCTTCAACTTCAGAAAAAAGTAACGTTATTAAGCTCTTAGGAATCTCAAGGGAAGGCAGATCAAGCATTTCCAGAGCATTCTGACTCTACCATCAATCAAATGATGCTTTCTATTAAAAACAATAACAATATTAAATGTAAGGAAAAGGTTCAACGTGAATTGTTTAAACTTGGTTTTGCTTAGGAATTTTCAATCATAGCTTAATTGCTGTTTCATGGTAGTTTAACATATTTCCAGTATCTATGTTGTGGTATGCTGTTCCTAGGTGACTTTTCCAAAACTGCTATAAATGGGCAGAAGTACCTTTGCTTCATTGTCAGATTGCTCAAACAGAATGCTGACATCTGGACCAGAATAAACAAAAAAATTTCTTCTGGGAAGAGCAGGGTAGACTTTCTTGCATTTCCCACCACTAGACAATGAAAACATATCAATATGACAGAGACCAAAAAATAAGGAGAAGTTGCTACTTACTCTGATGTCATTTGTGCAACTAATTGAAGAGATGTGAACCCTGCAGTCAGAAAACTATCTCTGTATTGGTTCATTTTGATGGCACTGAGCCAATCTTCTACTGAGGTAAAGGCAGTGAAATCGGGGATGGAGCGATCCAAGAGTGGCTGAGAAGGCCTAGAATATGAGATAAGTAATGTAATAGGGAAGAATCATTAACTGTGAACCATGGCTAGAATAACAGTAGCAACATAGTAGAAACATTGGACTTGTTCTCACTAGTGAGGTTAATGAGAATGAATAAGTTCTTCCCACAAATCATTATTGATTCCTTAATCTTCTAAAGGACATGTTTCAGCTTTCTCTTCAATTCCATTCAGACCCATGCAACCAGTCACATCATACTATTAATTATTGTATTATTTTATTTGAATTATTAATCGACCACCCTTCTTCTAAGGCAGTGGTTCTCAACCTGTGGGTCCCCAGATGTTTGATTTTCAACTCCCAGAAATCCTAACAACTGGTTAACTGGGTGGGATTTTATGGGAGTTGTAGGCCAAAACACCTGGGGTCCCACAGGTTAAGAACCACTGTTCTAAGGAAAGGAAGGCCACCACAGCCCACAGCCCACGTTAAGTAAACTATAGCTTATTTTGTGTCTCCTGGGGTCTTCAGAAGCCCTTTGCCACTCCATTGTTCCATTCAAAAGAAAAAGCAGAATGTTCCTTGAATTGCTCCTAGAAGCATGATACTGCTTGAAAATAACAGTCATTTCCCACTATCTTCTTCTGAACACAAGTGATGTTGTTAGCAAACTAGAGGTTCTTTCACATACACAATTGTTTTACTAAAATTCCACTCTGAATACCGTGGCAACGTTCTATGGAATCCTGGAGGTTGTAGTTTGGTGAAGCAGTAGAATTATCTGTCTGAGAATTCAAAATATCCCACCCTAAATTCCAAACATAGGATGTTTCCATGGCAGTTGAAATGGACTTATAGATGTAATGTAAAAGAGCCCCAGAAGTGGCTTTTGAAAAGATGATCAGCATATTTTGACTTCATCCAGCTGTGTCCACACCACACAAATGTGCATCAGTGTACATATAGGGGCACACACACCTGCCCCTTCCTGCATCCTCATTGGCATGGAAACAGAAACAGCAAAGAGAATTGTGGCACCATTTCTTCTGCTTTCTTTTCCACATTGTGGAAAGAGGAGAACACGAGGGGCAACCTGAGCCTCACTGTTTTACTGAACGTCTAAAGTGGCTCATGAAACATTGGGGGAAGAACTGCGGAAATCAGCTAGAGCACAGATTATGTTTCTTATGTTCCTCGTTGGGATTTAACTTCTGGTTTTTGGCCTCATTCTATACCTGCAGAACAGTGCTTCTCAAACTGTGCTCCTTCAAGTGTTTTGGACTTCAGTTCCTAGAAATCCCAACCATCTTACCAGCTGTTCATATAACAAATGATTTTGTATCCATGGAGTGTCAGAGGTAGAAGATATCACACATGTACTGTTTAGTTGTAGCTAGCACAAGAAAGAGAGACACCAATACCTCTGGTCATACGTTATACAAAAGGCACACTGGGATCCTTATATTAAAACTACATTTTTATTGGCCAGCCAGAATGCAAAAATAACATACAAAACGGCCCTTTTTCTATTTAAAGCAAGACACCTGGAGGAGCAGAGTTTGAGAAACTCTGCTGTAGAGGCATACCTGACATGAAGATACAGAGCTGAGTGTCGTCTAAATCTTGTTGGCAGCTCACTCAATTCTGCATTGTTTGATTCTACAGGGACATCAGGGACTCAATGGTCAACTCGGCTTGAGACTCCATCTGCACTACCATATAATCCAGTTTCTGAATCCAGATTATCTAATTTGAACTGATGATATGACAATGTAGACTCATATCATCCAGTTTAAAGCAGATAATCTGGATTCAGAAACGGGATTATATGGCAATGTAGATCCAGCCTGAGTTTCTGAGTTTTATAAATAAGTCAGAAAAACGTTGCACTCCTGGTTTGGCTTGTACAAAGATGCTCTTGCCAACTCTTTTCCCTTTAAGAAGTGGGAGAGGGGTGCAGTGGCAAAACAGCTGTTTATGAAGTATTGAGGCCTGACAGAAAACAAGGCCAAACTCATTAAATAATGAATTGTGCATAGCCTTTGCATCTTTTTGCCTTGTTGTCATTCCAAGCCTAAGGCAAAGAGCAAAGAGATGTCTAGGCTGTGTGCAATTCATTATTCGGTGTATTATACTTCTAAAGGAAAAGTTAATTAAATGGTTGTACATGAAAAAAACCATCATCTGGACACAGTTAAGAGCTTATATTTTGCAGATTTAATGTTTTGTACAATAAAAAGAAAAATATATTTTAGAAGCTGGGTGTTCCCTTTTCAGAGTTTTTGTTATTAATATTGCAAATTATCTCAGCTTGTATTATCAAAAGCTGAAGTATATTGTAGGGCTTGGTAACAAGACAGTTTATTTAAAAATTATTGCTTTCTGAATTAGTCAGACAAAACAGAGATATGATTGATTGATTAATTTATTATCTAGCCTATAATTGGCTGGCAGTGCTACTTGTCATCCCAGATTAAATTTCAAGATTTCCACATCTCTTTCACACTGCACAATTGTAACAGTTTGGCATCACTTTAAGTATAATGGCACCACACAGTTTAGTGAAAATTCGAAATGCTTTAGCAAAGAATTAAAAATGCCACATTAAACTACAAAACCCAAGATCCTGTGGAACAATAGCAGTTAAAGTGGTATCAAGGTGCTATAATCATATATTGTAAAATTATAATACATGCATTGTAGCTTTGGCCTAAATACTATGCTTGTTTGATCACGAAAAAAAAAATGGTTCAAACTCATTTCGGATGTAGGGGCACTGGTGGTTCGGTTCGGAAATGATTTCTGAAATTTCCCGGAAAAAAAGTCAGAATTTTCTGAATTTTCCAAATCACTTTGTTAATGGCGGGCGTGATTGCGCCATACATTAAAAACTGCAAACGGAACAGGGGAAACGTCTGGAGATTCCCTCTCCCTCATTTTTTGACCGCTACTGCCAAAATTTGCCACAGTGAACAGACATTTTGAACAGATAAAAGCAGATTTGTAGTTCCCACAAGCACAGTGTGTCTCCCCAAAGCAGGGACACCTCAAGGCAAGTAGTGTTGGGTGGTTCACAAAGGTAATTTTGAACAGATAAAAGCAGATTTCTATTTTCCACACAAAAAAGTAGTGTGCAACCCCAAGCAGAAATATTATTATTAGAAATTATTATTACAAATTATTTGAAATTGTTAGCAAATAAGGGGATTCCGAAAGTCCAAAGGGACTTTCTGGGATCCCAAATTCCAAGGTCTCTAGAAAGTTTAATTCAATTGGCAGACAGTGGCAGGCAAGAGAAAAACACTTCTCCCAGTTGCCCTTTTGTGCTGCCCTGCCCTTCTTCCCTCCCCAAGCAAGCCTCACAGGCAACGGGCCTGTTACCAGCCATTCTCTACTCCCCAATTTGTTGTTTCCTTTTTTSTCTATCCATAACCCTGTTGCTCGGTCGCACCTTTCCCACCCAAACTGSCTTCCCAACCCTACCCGTTCGTGTCCCCTGCTTGCCATGTGCCCACGAGGCACGCACGACCCTTTTTAAAGGACAATGGCCACCGTGCCGTAACCCCGCCTCTCCCCACATGGTTTCCCTTCATTGGCTGGAGGCAAGCATCCCAGCACACAAACTGCTGCTTGCCTTGCTGCATGTTTGACTCCAAACGCGGAGTCCTTTCTGATTTACTTCCTGACTTGGAACAAAGATGGCGACAGTGGCTTCTAAAGGGCAAGGATACTTCTGGGTTCCCAAATTGCTTTGAAATCRCTTCAAAAAGGAATTTGATCCTAATTTTATCCRAATTCCAAGGATTACAAATGGATCTAACTGTGCTGTCGCACGCTGGGCCGGAAATAATGTCTGTTTACAGGATGTGCTCTCTGTATGCCCAAYGGGACGCCGGGGTGCCTTAGCTGAAGGGCCCTCTAGATTTCCCAACACAAAGTTCTATTGAGGCTCAAAGTAAGTTCAACAAAGTTCTTTATTTGGGCTTAAATCTTCAAACAAATGAATTAAACACTTTATAACCTTGGAAAACTGGTAGCTTCCTCAATCTGCCAACAAGGGGCAGGCAACTGGTGGTAAACTGTTCCTTTCTTCCTTAGAGAAATACTTTGACCCCTCCCTGGGCAATCTCTCTTTACCTTGCTGGCGTGAGACCCCTACTCCCGGCTCCAAGCTGCTTTATGGATAGGTCAAGTGGTCCTTTACCAGGCAAGGTTCCTGTAGATCTGCCAAGCTGAAAGGTGTCCTTTAGTTTCTCCACGAAGGCTGTAGGAACTATTTATTCACTCCCCAACAGAGCTGTGGATCTATTTCTTTAACCCCCAGCAAAAGCTGGCTGTATTCCCCCAGCAAAAGCTGTGGAAATTCCTTTACTGCCCCAGCAGAGCTGGCTGTATTCCCCCAGCAGAGCTGTGAGAAGTGAAGCTTTTGTACAAGTGGGAAAGAGAATCCCACACATCCTGTTGTTAGGCTTCAAACAGTGAGACTGAACAAAGGACCTCCTTTGCCTCCAAAACCCCGGGAAAAGGGACGGGTCTAAAGATTCTAACAATGATTGCCAAGTTGTTGGCCCTATGATTGCAACCTGAGGGAAGCTACCTTATTGCAAAATGAATGGCTTAAATAGATTCATGCAAACTAACAGTGCAAGAAAAGGAATTCAAATCTTCCGGCACTGCCGTGCCAGCACACTAAACATGCCTACTAAATATCCTAAAGGCAGCAGATCAGCTAAGCAAGGTCAGCCCCAATTAGTACTTGTATAGCAGATCACCAATGAATACCAGGTGTGCAGGCTAGATTTCAGAGGAAGAAACTGGCAAAGCCATCTCTGAGTATTCCTTGCCCAAGGAAACCATATGAAATTCATTGGGTCCCCATAAATAAACAGGTGACTTGAAGCACATAAATACACACAGCACAGGAGATGGAAACTTACACAGTGGTGATGGTAGCCACAGTTTTGAGGCTTGCTGGATTTCGGATCATTTTGTCTAGAGTGTTAACTATTTCAGCAAAGCGTGGGCGGGTGTTGCGGTCTTTCTGCCAGCAATCTAACATTAGTTGATGGAGGGCAGCAGGACAGTCCATGGGGGGAGGGAGCCGGTAGTCTTGCTCAATAGCATTAATTACCTGCAGGAATAAAAGTGTGTTCAGATTTTTAAAAAAGAAATATTAGTACTGAGGCAGAAAACAGAGAGTCAGCAATTTTTGAGTTCTTTTTGTTTTACTGGCAAGATACTATTTTCACTTAACTCCCAGGCCTTTGCCTGAATGGACACAAACTCAATGGCAACAGCTTTCACATCAATTCTGTCTTTAGTAGGCATCAGTTCCTCATCTTTTGCATGTAATAGAGATTTATTTTAGTGTCTGAGGCCTTATATACATGGGTCATTCAATCTGGGGCCAATTCAAAGCCAAAATGCTTTGGACTAGTTCTGTATGCAACCACATACACATTCCCCAACCCACAGCAGCAGTGAGGCAGAATGCAGACCATGCAGCAAGGTGAGACCACTTCAGCTCCACTGAAACAGCATCTTAGCATCTATGTTACCATTGCTACTACCAGAAGTGCTCTTTGTCAAGTGAGAGCTCCTGCTCTGGGTGCCTTGTGCTGATATCAGCAGAGGACCCCAGGTGACTAGCAAGGAGAGTGGCACTGGCTCATTTGGACAGTAAACCAGTCCTTCTGTTCACACTGTGCCAAAACAGCAGGGTTACTCCAGAGTTTTGGTCAAATTCCAGAGCATGCCCCAATATTTCTTAACAATATGTACTGGAAGTTTCAGAATTCTATGAAGCCCAGAATGACTGCATGGTGAATATGGGTTACTAAGCCCATGTAGATGAGCCATGACAGACATAGGGTTAGTATGAGTCATAAGCAGTGATGGATTTAGGACAAATGAGGCCCTGTGCTAGTTGTTATGAGGCCCCTTACTAGGATGGAGGCCCAGTAGGTCTACACTGCCTGCCTTGTGGCATGCTCCCATACACTATAAACTCTATCATTATATATGGAATTGTCCGGAAACAGAACACCTTCAAATTTAGAATTGCACCACGTAAACAAAATCCATCATATTTTTTTCCATGTAAACACACCTAAGCACAATCGTTAAACCCAGCACTGGTCATAAGGGCTAATATTTACTTGTAGTTCCCTTCCCATTTAGTCTTTTTCAATGTGGACCACACCAAGATTGAGATCTAAGCTAACTGGTTCTCTTGCACACCCATGTCCACTCTAATGGGCTGTGTACACTAAATCCCAAACCAAAATAAAGAAGGAAAATCGCAGTATCTTGGTCGAAAGTGTGAAAAGTAGGGGAGAGAAGCATGCATACACAAATTGACCATAGAAATATTTGCATGTCTCCAATATGTTCACATGTGAAATAAATATATTATGTTTTATACTCCTTGATGTGTGACAGAAGGACTTTTCTTCCCCTGACAGAAAAGAATATTTATATCTTCTTCCTGTCATTCATGCTCACTCTGAAAGGAAAGTTTGAAGTGGCACCAAGGGGAAATGCCCTCCAAATGAAAAGACTAATTATAATGGAATACAGACTACAACAGAGATAACAGTGTTGAGACAGGGAAGCAGGTTGGACCAGTACTGTCTGGGACTTTTTGGGAAAGCTATAGATATGGATGATTTGAGAAGATTTAAAACAATTTATTTTAATGTGGGATAATTGATTTTGGTGTTTATGTCTGTTTATAATTTAATTATGTTCAGACATTGAATATTTGCCGTATATATGTTGTGCTCTGCCCTGAGTCCCCTTCGAGATGAGAAGGGCGGAATATAAATGTTTTAAATAAATAAATAATAGACTGTGTTTTAAATTCAACCCACTGAAATTCTAAGTCACCTTTCCTGCCCTTAGGCCAATTTTGCACACCTCTGCTCCTTCCTTTTTGGAACAGAGCTCCTTTTCAAGTGACAGCATTCAGCACACCAGTGCAATGAGTGCGGGAGTAAAGAAAAAGGCATGGCCTCTGCACTAGGAGGAACAGAAACATTCTTGCTTCTGAAGGAAACAGGCCATTCAGAGGTTAATTTGACTTCAGATGCTTCAAGACAAAGGTAGTCCCTTCCCTGTTACAGCAGCCACCACTCTCATTATCTCTGCCTATCATGCTGTAGTGAAGGACTTCATCAAGTCTCCATGCCTGGCTCATAAACCTCTGAACATTTTCAAAGGCCTGCCGGGTTCCTAGAATCCAATTACCACCACACTGGCTGACTCCGATTCACAATTCTTCTCCCTTCCTAGCTTCTTTCATCTTAGAAACTCTTTCTTACAGCAGCGGTTCAAGAGGCAAGGGAGGGGGGAGAAGCAGCAGGCTGAGGCTGGTGCCTCACAGTTAGCATTTTTAAGCTCAACAATGGACTGTAGTTGGAACCTACTCTAACTGCTGTGTTTGAATACTCCCAGTAGGAAAAATAGCAAGGTCGTAATATGCAGGAATAAAAGCTGGCACAAAGCTCAATGTGGCTCAGGAACTAAGAAAAGACCTTCTTTCAGTATAGTGCTCATGGGATATCCAGTGACATAATAATATATTGTTGGCTACACTGATTATAAACTTCATTCTACATTTTACACAACGTATGGGAAAAGTGAAACTCTAAAGTCACATAAAATCCCCCCAAATTGTTTTTGTGGTCATCTACCTCTCCCCCCCCCCCAATCCCAAAAAATAACATGGATCCCATCTTTCAGAAGCTAGATTGGAGGGTTCTCAGCAACTGCTCATATTTTTAAAATACCTATTTTTCAAAACTGGAGATAGTCTTCTGGTCATCTCTCAATTTTTAAATTTGTGTTAATTGGCATTATTTGGAAGTCTGTGTGGCCTCTAGAGACTTTTGGGGCAGAAATATAACCCTGGCTTCATCGCAATTGCCCACACATTCTACACACAGCATATTGATGGGTGTTCTGTACAGTGGATGTGGGCTGTTCAGTTCTAAGGTTAACTTCTATATGTAAGATGCAGGAGACACAAGATGTGGCAATATCCACAAGCTCTTATTATGATCAGAAAATTAGACAAATGTATAGAGATATCTCAAAAACTATCAGGAAAGGTTAAAAGATTACTTCAATGGACTAAAATGGAACAAAATGGCATATGTTTAAAGGGAGTAAATTTCAATAAAACATATTCTAAGGAGATATTGTACAAGGGGGGATTATTGCCTACAGGTTACCTATAGGATCACCTTTTCCCATCTAATCCATCCCACACACTTACATCCTCTGGAGGTGGCTATTCCAACCAGCCAGAACCTGACAGGCAACCATCACCCAGAGGACCTTTTCATTGCCGCCCCAAGACTGTGGATCAGCCTGCCAGAAGAGCTCTGACAGCTAAATGAGCTTTCAGAATTTAAAACCCATCTAAAGACCTATCTCTTCCAGTAGGGTCACCCAACCAATTTTAAGCAAGAATTTTAAACTCGTGTCCTGTGTTTTAATCTGTCATGTGCATTTCAATATGTATCATTTATAGAATTACATTTTAATATGTATCATTTATAGAATTACATTTTAATATATGTGTTTATAGATTTTTTGCAATGTTTGTGTGTTTTGACTGTGCAGGGAATAAATAAATAAATAAATAAATAAATAATTATTATTATTGATATTCTGGTAGGCATCCTGGAAACATTTGAATAGGGTGCTGGATGAAATGGGCCTTTCTGCTTATTTCCTATGAAAAGAGACATTTTCTCCCAAAGGTAAAACTTCTCAGAGGCTTTCAGGATATTAATGTCCAAGAAGCAATAGGATTGGAAACCCATTGCATAATTCCTGTGGTGTTGAAAATGAACTATACAGTGTGGGATGGTGAACATTAATTTTCTTCTCTTCATTAAAAAAACCCACAGTGAAATGATCGCTGTTCTCTTACAGAAACATCATAAAAACTCACATCTTGATTGGACATGTCCCAGTAAGGCCTTTCCCCAAATGACATCACTTCCCACATGACAATGCCATAACTCCATACATCGCTGGCAGAGGTGAATTTTCGATATGCAATGGCCTCTGGGGCTGTCCATCTCACTGGAATCTTCCCACCCTGACAGAAGAAAAAAAAAGGCATCAGTTAAAAATGACCCAGTGAATGCACTGGTGCTTCCCTGTCTGCAATACAGAAGGTACATGACAATTTGAATCAAGCACAACTTCTGAATATGCCCAAATGAGTTCTCTTCATTATCAATATTAATTCAGTCTGAACCTTCAAAAAGAAGGTAATTCACTTCTCAAATATATTTGGGGGCAGAACACTTCCTGTTCAGCTGAGAAGAAAACAGATGCTTAAGAAAACTTTGACCTCTTTTCCTCTTGCATGGCAAGGTGGAGGGTTTTCAAATGTCATGAAAACAATTATTCAACACCCTAAGGCCCATAAATTACAATAGAACTGAGCCAAACTTTGAAGAATTAATGAGGTCAGCCTACTCCTAATGACAAATTGCCGAGAGATGGATATCCAGATCCCACACAAAACTTTGCAACTTATTATACAGACATTACTTCAGACACTCTTAAGTTTTGAATAATACATTATTTTGGAAAATTGCAATCTAAGGGACACATTGCTCATCCCGTGGCAGCTCCCAAGTAAATGGACATTGTATTTGTCAAGTCCACAGCTGACATTTTTCATATTTAGATACCAAATAATTCTTAATTTAATTAAAAATTAAGATTGAGATTGACATTTCAAATGTAACTTCTGTAGTTTGCTGTATAAATTGCATGTACAAGGAGGGGAAGGTGGGAGTGGGCTAGAAAAATAAAACAACAATAAAAATATATCAAATAATTCACATGTGCAAATAAAACAGCTGATTCAGATGAAGCAGAAGACCCTGAAAAGTCAATAAGTCCTAAGTTCTAGAATCACACTGCATAGTTCTCAGTTGTCCTGTTGGAGTTTCAGCAAATAGAAATATGAACCCTAAGTATTCAGTTTTATCTGTCACAACTGTAAAGTGCAGAAACACTTAAAAGCCTTCTGGGCCATGGACAAAGTCAAATATATAGTGTTTATGTCCCCTGCCCCCTGTTGCAGCTCTCTTTTCCATTGCACTTACTGCAATAAAAAGAGATTGAGCTTGAATTCAGGTGATTAATTCAGTGTTATAAATTGTTTTGCAGCACTACTTATAAAGTAGAGATGAAGAGAAATTTGCTGAATTCCCATTTTGATGTAAATTTATTTAATTTGAACTTCACAGAGCAATATACACATGAAATACATTATTTTGATATGAACATACTCCTGAATATTGTGATGCAGTTCTACATAAAACATATACTCTAATACTCTGATCTAATAAATACATTAATAAAAATGCATATAAACCTGTTATATTTGGGGAAAATTGTGCAAAACATTCCATGATGTAGATGTTATATGAAAAAGAATTTTTAAGGTTTACAAATGAGAAACTGAGCAATACTGAAACAACAACAAAAAACCCATCCATCCCTGCTTACAAGATATCCAAATGTATGAGAGCTTGGGAATGAGTTATAGATGTTTCCCTTCCATGTATTGTCTTCAAATTTGGGTGAAAAAAGATTTCTAGTATTAAATGTATTAATGAAAACTACTTACACATATGCACACACACCACACATGTTCTGTCTTTTCCCCAATTTGGGCCCATGATTTATGTAATGTCAGTAAAACAGAGTGGTTCTCATGACTATAAAACCTGCCTTCATTGATATTAAATGTGCAAAAATGTGCCTTTTTAAAAGAATTAGTCATACCAGCAAAACAAAAAAAAGATATTTTAATGCCTTTGGTTCATTGCAAATCCAAAACAGACTCTCTCAAGATGAGTGGAAACTCACAAGGGACAAAATATACAAGAGAAATTGTGTCTTAAAGTATATTCCTTATTCTTGAGCATTGATTTGTGAAGAGAAAGACTATGTTCTAGATTTTTACAATACGTATCAATGGATTTTTTTTGTCCTGTTTCACAAAAAAGGGATGTGCAGGATCTGAGAGGAGAGGAACTGAATTCATGGAGAGTTAGCCTTGTTCCCTCTCAAAGTTATAACAACAGGGATCCTGTTGATAGCATGGTGATTTTCATGATTGAGAGTAAACAATTAACTTGGTTTAGATGTGTGGCATAGAATCTTATCATATTTGGAAATACTCAATTTTAATCAGTATGGATCCCATATTTTTAAGTGTTGGATGCATACTGTGTTCTTACAGGATGTATACTCTCCCCATCATAGTCAATTACAAGGTGCAGTATTTAGTAAATACTGCACTTTGACTCATCACACCATGAAAGGCTCCTCTCAATCTATTCAAATGCCTCCCTACATCACTTTCCCCCTGAATATTGCACGTGCTGAAGCTTAGAAGTCTCAAAATATTGTTCTTGTGAGATTTTAGCTGATGAAATGTGTAGTGATTTTCTGACCACATGTAAAAACAGAACTTCAGCAACATATAAAATCAATAATAATAATAATAATAATAATAATAAACAATTAGAATCCCATGGGCAGTTAGTTCATTACAGCAATGTTTGGCAGACACATCCCTATGGATTATTGATGAAATGGGGCAAACATCATATATCAGAAGCATTTTCAAAGAGTTTCAGAAACAGCGTATTTCTCAATGTGACAAGGTCCATAGAAAAACCAAACAAAAAAATTTGGTTCCCTGGGATTTTTTACATATCTAAAGTATATAAGTTTACACTTGTTTCATTATTTCATGCAAGAACAAAACATTACAAATATTCTTGCCATGTTGGGGGGGGGGGGGAGATTTAAAGAGTTTGATGTTCACCTTTCAATAATGCTTCACATTTTGGGAACTGTCTGAAAAAATCTTTTCTACAACACTATTTGGGAGACCTTTGGGTCAGTGTCATTGACATGGTATAAAATTATAGCCAGCCCCTTGTATTCACAGATTCTGTATCTGTGTATTCCACAACTCATAGCTTGGAAATATTTTAAAATCCCCCCAAAAATCAAAATGGGAGTTGAGCATCCATGGATTTTGTTATCAACAGGGGGTCCTGGAATCAAACCAAAGAGATACCATGGGCCACTGTGACAGCTTTTTAAAGCAAAACCATTGTTTTAATATCACATGATTTTCACAGATAAAACACTGACAGGATTGGGGAAGAAAATGTACTGATCTTTTCCCTCTCAATAAAAGAAGAAGTATCTTATAGTAATTGGCCACGTTCTTTTTCTTGATGGGATTTTCTGGGATGTTGAGACACCCTGTGTCATCAAGCATGGCAAAAAATTACAAATGTGGTTTATCTCACTAGTAAATAATCAATTTGTCATGTCCCTCTACATATACCTTCATACAGAAGACACACTTAGCTCCTGCAGGAAGTATCTCTGGTGAGAAGATTAGCATTCTGGCATTTGTTCCAGCTGTGGTAGTTAAACATCAACAGTAGCTAAACTAACAAAATCCCATCCCCATGAATGCCAATGAACATGCAAGTGTTTTCTAAAGGACAGTATGTTTCCTACAGAGAATATATAGGTGCTCCCACACTTCCTAGGCCCAAAATCAGACGTCAAAAGCTGACAGCAGCAGCTGTTTCCCTGTACCTCTCTGCATATCAAGTAGAAGTTATGTCTTTGGGGCTTTATCCTGAGTGACACTTCCTCACCCTTGGCTGTTTTGTATTGTGAAGCACGCAAACTTCCTTTGCTTCAGGCCCCTTCCCCTAAGAAGGGAGGCAAGAAAGTGGATCTGCCCTTGACACAGAGATGACAGCTCATTACAAAAAGCTGAGCACACCAAATGAAGAGTAACAAGTGTTTTCCTACCCGAAGCTCAAATTATAAAATTTATGTGCATGTAAGGACTCCTTCATTGTGTTTCAAAGAATACCTGCAAACACATATTTATGAATAAGTCCAACTGATTATGCTTATTATATTATATAACGAATTAGACTTGAGGCTGGGATAAAAAAGAACCTATTTAAAAAAACAGGAAACTGAGAATGTACTTGAGATGTCATAATGATTTCTATAGCAATGGAGAAACAATCTATGGGGATTTTGTGAACCTTGTTCCCTGGGTATAAATATGAATTCCTTTCAGCTTAGTTGAGTTCTTACAGATGAAGCAATTGCAGTCTCCCTGAGCTAAGCTTTGCTAGTTCAAAAGCAGTTGATGCTGATTTGACAGTTAGACAACCATGTAAATGAAGGGACTAAATTAGGAACTTAGGAGATTGTCTCACATGGAGTCTGATCATTGGTACATCTAGTTTAGGCATGGGCAAAATAAGGCGCATGGGCCAGATGTAGCCCTCTGGTCCCTTATGCTTGACCCTCCTTATTTTCTCTGTCCTCATCTGGGCATAAGGATGTGGCTGCCTGCCATGTCTTTATGCCACAAGGACAGGGGAGGAAGACATGCGACTGCTGGGAGCCCTCTTGAGCACTCTCCGTCACCACATGCTTTTCTCGCCCCCTGGCCCCCCTCCCGGCATACAGAGGGGTTGAGTGGCCCCCTCCCAGCCCAGCCCAGCCCAGCTGCCTTGGCTTGCCTTGCCATGAAGCCATCACACCCAAAAGTTTGCCCATGCCTGATCTAGTTCATCTAGCTCAGTATTTCCATCTCTATTAAACACTATTCCCCCTGGACTTCACACAAATCTTTTTTCCTTTTTCAACCTGAAGAGCCCTGGTATTCCATGTACTAACCATGCCTGATCCTTATTAGTTTCAGAACAAACCAAGTGTGTTGAGAGCAGCATGATGGTACTGCAGATGTAGAGTTGAGATATATGGAAAATGTGTTAATGGTATACACGGAGAGAGAACGAGGAAGGAAGGCTGTTGAGATATTGGCAGGCAGTAAGAGAAAATCAGATTACACCAAAAAATTAAATGATTTTTAAAAAGAGAGGTTTGTGCTTTTTTGCTAAGGAATAATAAATAAGTTGGGAGAGATAAATTATACAAAATGAAAAATAGACAAATATGAATTATAAAATGGAATTTTTAAACATTTAGCCTTGCTTTTTGGATCATTTGCAT